TGAAAGAAATTTAGTGTTTGATAAATCTTAGAAAATGCTCAATTTCCTATCCTCTATGATTTTTTTCTTAAACTTTGCTACCTTACACCTTGTATTAAAAGAGACGAGTCAAATTTTATTTGATTCCTGATGTTTAAAAAATAAAAGCAAATTCCTAAGGTCGGCTTATTTATTTCCCAGTTGAACAAGAGTTTGTCCCATATTACTTTCTCATAATACGAGTGTGAACTTGTTTTTTCCCAAACTGATTGATGTCAGCTACCTGGAGGTTTGGATTCTGGGGAAACACGAATTCCTGCATACAAGTGCTCCCATACACTCAGTACAGCTCCTGGTTCCTGCAGAAACTGGGTTCAGCATGGAAAATACCACTTCAAAATCTGGTTGTTTTCCTAGGACAGAAGACCTTCCTCCCAGCAATGTAAGGGGGCTGGGGGCCCCAGGGAAACTAGGAAAATTTATCTCCTTGTACAGTATATATTCTCAAAAGTTCTGAAAATAATTCTTTTCTTATGTGGATCAGAGGGCTGTGAAGTCATTCCCAAGTGTGCCTTTGAAATGCTGGTAAATACAGCATGCCCCTCTGGCAAGCTGTAAGAAGGTGCTTGTTGCAAACCAGAAGCTCTACCTGGGGATGTAAGGAATAGGGGCTGGGGAAAGAGCATTAGAAAGTCAAGGCTCCAGGATCTCCTGGCTCCAGTTGGGCTCCTACCTTGTAACACTTGGATTCCAAACAGAGGGATGTGAAGAGCTACAGGGCGTACACAGGTGCACTTGGTTTTCAATTTGTAAGCTGTGCTGTCAGAAGCATGCTTTTGTACATAAATGTATACACTCAATCCACTGTTTTGTGTGCAAATGAGAGAGGGAGCAGGGGGAAAAGTAATCAAGGTATAATCAGTCCTCCCAAAGTAGCTAATATAAAACCATCTGGGTGATATTTGCAATGATTGTCTGTAAACATTTTTTCTTCCCACCCCTCATCTCCCCCTCCCTCTTCCCATACCCTTTCATTCTCATAAGAAAAGCCATATAATTTTAAGATCTTATCATTTCTGCACCTCACTTTTCTCATCTGTAAAATGTGGACAACACTACCTACTTCACAAGAGTAAATGGATTAATAAATGTAAGCCATTCAGAACAGTATCAGCACATTGTAAGAACTAGGAAAGTTATTTTTGTGACCATGGCTGGGGGAGTTAGGAATTATCTTATGGAGGTGGTGACAGCTGATGTGAGCTCGTAAATGCATTTACTGCATCAAATCCACCAAACGTCGTCACTCAGCCCAGCCTGCTGCAGTGTGCTCAGAGCGCTTACATCAACCAACCTGCAGTGGGGCAAAAACGTCAAACACACAGGCTGTTTCACAACGCAGCTGAATATCTCATGGACACACAGAGATGGGTGTTTGTAGGTGTGATGGGAAGTGAAAACACAGTATGTCCAAAACACCAGTGACACAGTACACTGTAAGGTGTTGCTTGTTCCTCCCGGTGATTGTGTGGCTGATTGGGAGCTGATTGCCACTGCCCAAGGTCTTGGAGAAGAAGGGGGCCATGAACAATTATGGAAAAGGTCAAAACTCAAAATGTCATTTCTTCTGGGTGCATATTACTACCATACCATTGTAAAGTATAAAAAATTTAAGGCAACCCCTTGTAAGCGAGGGACCATGTATACTAGGTATTTCCACTTACATGAGTCCAACAAGAGATTTTTTTTTTTTTTTTGTAAATGAACTAATCTGTGTTGGAATAATGGCCACTTTGTGGGTATTGACATGGAATGGCCACGAGGAAGCCTTCTGGTGGGCTGGAAATGATGAGTACAACCACATCTGCAGTCCTCAGTAGGTACACATTTCATACATGCATTGTAGGAAGGATTTGTATGCCAGGGAAATAATAAAAAGTTTACTTCGTACCATTTAAGAATATATTGAATGTTTAAATAAAAGCTATTACAGTGAAAGACACATTGGCATTTAGCCCCTTGAAAATACTCCCCTGACTTCAAACATACTTATTCCCTTATTCTGGCCATTTTCTGAAGGACTGTGGAAGTCGTCTTTCCTGGGTGTCTTCATGAGGTGTAATAAATGCAAAACATAGTGTGCTCATTGCCATCCAATGGAAAGGCAGTCTTGGCAAAGGATTACAGTGTGTCCTCATTCGCCTTGTTCAATGGATCTAGCCCCATGTGCCTTCTGGCTCTTTCTCCAAGTCAACATGTCATTTACATGAAAGTAAATGTTTTGAATCGACCCAGGCAGGACATCAAGGCAGCCGCAACAGTGCAACTAAAAGCACTCAAGAAAGAGAACTCCCTGAACTGCTCCAGAAAGTGGCAAGAACAATGGCACATGTTCAAAGCTAGGGGGAATATTTTGAAAGGGATGAATGCCAAAGTGTCTTTTACTGTAATATATTTTTTCTTAACTCACTGCATTTGATCATACCACATATGCTCAAAATGTAATGATAAAGGGGAAAAACAGAAACAAATAACATTTTAACCCTAGTGGTTTCTGGTGGTGGGGATTCAGATGACCGTTGTAGAGTGCTATCTCAGGGGAATTACAGAAATCCTGGCCCAGATGTGAGGAGAACAACAACCCCCAGAGCACAGTGACAGATCTCAGTCCTTTTTCTTCCTGGGGGACTGACTTTTAGCACGTTACAGAAACTCTTCTGGCCTCAGTTTCCTCAACTGTTGAATAAAGGGGTCATAATGATGCCAACACTCTAGGATTCTTCGGGAGACTAAAAAGATGAAGCTGAGTCTCAGCACATGGCAAAGACTCAGGACAGATTATTTCTGTTGTTAAAAGAAACCTTGAGGTGGAGAGGACTGAAGATGCCTAGGTCACGCCGACTGCCCCTGCTTGGGTCACCCCTAGGGACAGAGGCTGCCCAGGGGGTTTGAAGAGGAGGCCTTGAGCAGCATCCAGAAGTAGGGAAGAGAGATGCCCAGGGCATAGGTGCAGATTCCTTGGGTGATGCCAGAAGGCAGAAAGCGAGCCTCTCCCAATGAAATCCCTAGTGCACTCTCTTGATCAAGAGGATTAAGGGTTAGTTAACATGTTCTTGTGTTGGGAGTTGAAAAGGTGGTTGTACTACTGGGAAGGAAAAAAAATGAAATTTTGAATATAAATTCCACCAAGTATAACACAATGGAATGCCATTTTTTAAAAAAATTATATTTTTAAAGACAGGGTCTTTCTATATAGTCCAGGCTGGCCTTGAACTCAAAGCAATTCGCATGCCTCAGCCTCTTGAGTGCTGGGTTATAGGCATGAATCACCATGCCCTGCAGGAATGATATTTTAAAGGGGCTAGTTTAAAGTTGGACATTTTCTGACTATGTCTGGTTGTGGTTATCACATCTGTAGAACATGATGTTACTTGTGAAAACCACAAAACCCTGAATCACCTGCTTTCCTACCCAGAGACATATTCCCTTCTTCCAATACTATTCCACAGCAATTACTAGTATAAAATAGTCACATACCATTTTGTTATGGTTTATATCTAAATGTCCCCCCTCTGTGCTCATAGGTGTGGCTTTGGAGAGGTGACCGGATCATGGGGCCATGATACTCATCAGTGGATTGGTCCACTGGTGGGTTTATAGCTAAATGTGATGCTGGAAGGTGGAGCCTGACTGGAGGAGAAGGTCGTGGGGGTGTGGCCTGGGAGGGTCTGTCTCCCTCCTTCCTTGATCGCGCTCTCTCTCTCTCTCTCTGCTCTCTGTGCCATGCCATGAACTCTCTCTCCTCTGCCATGCTGCCCTGCCTTGGAGTCAGCTGAATGTGGACTGAAGCCTCTATAAACTGAGAGCCCAAATAAACCTGTCCTCCTTTGAGTTGTGGGTGTCAGGCTTTGTAGCTCAGCAGAGAAAGTGACTAAGACACATTTGAAAGCGTGAATTTTTTTTCACTCTTGTAGAGAGCCACGTAGTCCACACTTCTTAGGTGGGCTAGGGGAAATTAAATTGGAATTTAGTCAGTAACCTCAGAAATGTGAGATACATGCATCCCAAGTATTTGCCTCCTTTCTTCCTGCTCGAGAAAACACACTTAGGATTTTTAAAATGGTCAGTCATAAAATTGTATGTATTCGTTAGGTGCCCACATACTGCAACTGACTTCATTTCAACACAAATAAAATGAAAACTATTATAGTAGAAAATTGTTGTGCTTTGTACAGAAAATCCGCAATTCTGTGAAAGGAGGTACAGTGCAGATATTTTTGTTCTTATAGGAAGCTGCTAAAAATCAGTAGAGGCCTGGTTGCTTTAACATTATATTCTGATCCAGAGTACTGGGAGGGAGTTGTGCCAACAGTTACAGCCTTGTCTCTTACTGCAATCCAATTAAAAGTAACCTGAAGTAATATATTGTATACTGGGTATTCTGAACCCTGAATAAAAAACGACATTGATAATAATCTTATGGGCTTTCATTTTTATTAGCACTTTTTATGCAGCAGGCATTGTGCTAATAAAATTTGTATATATTATGTCCCTTTCTTCCCATGACAAAGCAATCAGGCATTTTACAGGTAAGGACAATAAAGCTCAGACTAGGGTGACCAACCGCCCAGGTTTTTTCAGGATATGGGACTTGTAGTTCTTATCTCAGAAAAGCCCCAGGCAACCTTGGATGAATTGGTCACCCTATAAGAAGGACTTGCTTCTTAAGTGGTAGGGAAGCATTTAAGCCTCTTTTTTCCCTGGTTGATCAGCTCTGTTTCCTGCCATCCCAGATCAACATCACTGTGAACAACATCTGGACAGCAAAGACATCCTCTGGAGCATGGGAGGAGAAATCTAGGTTGAAACTAGATGAAGTGATTTCATATAGAGTAACTGAAAATGTCACCTTGCCTCCTCTGTCCCCAAACCACTGAGCAAATGAGGCTGAGCCTCTGTGTACAACATTTCAGAAGGGCTTGCATGTCACTGGAAGCACGGTGGGAGTGGGACCCGCTCACCTTGGGAAGTGGGTAGAGATGGCACTGCGGTTGGCCAGCGTCCTGCTTACAGAACTCCAGAGCGTGACACACCATATCAGCGTTCATGTCTGCGTCAAGCCTGGTGGGAAAAGGAACAAAGCAAAAGCTGTTAAGATCTCATAGGAGCGAGGAAGTAGAAGCTATTTCAAAGTAAATCTCCAGAATGGATTATAATACCCTCAACTCATTGCAGTGAGGCCTTGGGGTCTTTTACCCCATCCAGCGTAGCAGCCGGATCATAAGGACTTCCTGCTGTGCTGTTGTCTCCTGCAGTCAGAGTAACGTCCTGGGGAAGAAGAGGGACAAGCACAGCTCTGGGCTGAGTTCGCCTCTCCGTGAGCACTGCATTCTTTTCAGGAGCCACAAATACAATTGGAAAAGGAAAAATGGACAGAGTCATGATTTGATGGGAATAATGTGTTCATATTTTCTTGGTCTTATAGCAAAAACTCATTTGTGATATAGTTTTATTTTCTTAGGTGTAATCCAAAACATCTCTTCCCCTTTGAAGTAAACATGTTTCCTATCCTTAAGGAAGAAAATACAACATACTCAACTTGTTCCTTTCCCTGGGGATGGTGTAAGGATCGCACTCTTCAAATATTTTGTTTTTTATCCAGATTATAAAGAGCTAAAACAAAACTTCCATATGAATTTTCTCTTTGACACCCCCTAAAATCTCTTCTTACCAAGCAAAACACAATAAAATATTGCTTCTAATAAAGAACAAGTTAAGTATTAGGAAATTTTCCAAGGACATTATTGAGTCAAACTAAAACCAAATGGAACCAACGCAAAGAAAATAAAAATCCAATGACACAGGTTGGTAATACTCAGAGATAAATCGTTGTGTTCTGTGGATGGAATCTAAAGGATACTTTCTGGGGTTTCTCAAGCTCTCAGATCATTCACCTGTTCCCCCTTGCCCATAGGGGTGGCTTCTTGTAATCACAGTCATACATAGCTCCCCTTTGGGGGATATGGTCCAAGATGCTTTGTGGATACTTGAAACCCCAGATAATACTAAACCTATTGTATGCTTTTTATTACACGACCATATTTATCATAAAGTTTGATTTTTAAATTAGGCACAGTGAGAGATTAACAAAAACTAATCATGAAATAGAAAAAGTCTAACAATATCCCATAATAGAAGTTATTTAAAACTTATGAACTATTTTCTTCTGGAATTTTCTACTTAATGTTTTTGGACCTCAATTAACTATGGGTAATTCAAACAGGTAAGGAGGTGACTGGTCTCTGTAACTCCTGGCCAATTGATCAGACCTCATCAGACTACTGTTTGAAGCAGAATTTTTCTTAGGAAAGTCTAGAATTGATGTTAACAAAAGTTTGACTTCGGTCTGGGTTTATGCATAAGACTTCTGTCGTATTCTTAGAATAAGAGGAGCTATGGTCAACGCAGTCGTTTCTTCCTTGTGGACCGAGTATCTGGATAACCCACCTGCAGGATGGGGTGCCTGCAGGAAGGGTTACTGGGGCAGACCACAGAAGGGTGCAGCCAGTTCTGCTATCTGTCTCTTTTGGAGGCCTGGATCTTTTCCGGCTCCTGAGTTCCATGTCATGTATGCTCTGGGTTCCTTGTGTCTCTTCTAACCCGACAATTAAATGACTGTCTGTTACTATCACTATTACTATCACCTCTCTTCTTCCTTCCTGACCCTCCTCCTCCTACACAAGGTCAACCTGTTTCTGGTTTTTGCCACTGAAGACAGTCACAGCTGTACGTGGGCCAACACTTGAGAACTGCTGGTTAGTATTGGGGTAGGTTGCCCCTGTGAGCTAGGGCCTGGATGCAAGTCTCTGAATCTGTTTCCTACTCCATGCCTATCTCTGCTTTATTCCCTGCTCTCTTGGCTGTCCACCTCTCCAAAGGAATTCTATACTTGGACATATGGATTAACAAATGAGATTGAGAAAGCTAAAACAAAAAGCATTTGGAAGGCTGAGGCAAGAGGATTGTAAGTTATAACCCAGCCTGGACTATTTAGCCAGATCATGTCTCAAAAATCAATTAATCAGTCAGTGCAAAGTCTCTGAGTTCAAACTAAAATAGTTCTATTTGCACTTAGTAAGTAAGCAGCAATTTTAATGATTACTGAATATCAAAATAACTTTTAAAATTTCTAATAATGTTATCTTTTCAGACCACCACCTTTTCAAGTTTGGACCACCCCTCCAAATGCTGGATGGGACCTGGAGAATTTATTTCGACCATGTACTCCTGTGGTTAGAACAACCTTGTGTTCATGAAAATGTATCTCATCGAAGTCCATCAGAGAGAGCAGTTCACATAAGAAACTACCAAATACATTGAGGGCTGCTACCATATGAAAACACAGGCTGGGTTCATGGGCTCCAGGACTTCATTTCAGTCAAGTGATACTGACAGTGTAGCTGTCAAGATGGGTTAGCAACTGTCTGTGTACCTCTGAGCTGAGAGGGAAAAATAGAGTTTTGTGAATGCCACCTGCTTAGACACAGGGTCCCTTCATGGGAGATCAGAGGGTGGGAATTATCTCAAAAGTATAGAAAGAGGCCAAATCTTCGAAGTGGCAGGGCAAGCTGCATGTCACAGCTAAAGACTATTACCAAACTAATGTCTACCAAGGGTCAGTAAATCAGGAGAAGGTAGTTGTTTCCAAACACCTGTTCTCTACTTAATGGCTCATTTATTTAATGGATGCTGTCTTTATGGGGGTCTGGTATGCAGGGGACTCAAGAGTGACAATTAGGCCTTTGCTTAATCTTTGTTTTGACCTAGGGCCACTATCCTGTCTGTGACAATCCTGGACCGTGGAGCCAACTCATCACATGGTATTCAAGACCTGCTCTCCTTCAACCCCAAATAAAGTGCAGTTTCAAGTGAGTGAGCTTGAACATGGGAGATGATAGGACCACTCGGTCAGGGAGGGAGTGAGGCTGGTCAGTAGAGGGGGAATGTGCACTGTGTGTCACTGTGGTGTCCTCTATGATAGCATTTCATCATCAAAAGACTTAAAGTGAGGAGTATTCCTCTTGCCAAAAAGAGAAAATCCTTAGCCTTATAAATCCACAAAAGCTCATGATCATTTTAATGTACAAGATGCGTAAGAAGCAGCCTTTTCCAGAATGTCATATAGTTGGAAATTATAGTTTGTAAACTTTTAATTTAACTTCTTTTACTTAGCAACTTGCATTTAAGTTTCCTCTTTGACTTTTCATGATGTGAAAGTTTGTGGATGTTTACTGCTGAATAACGTTCCATTGTGTGGTTGCACCACAGTGTGAACATTAACTACAATATGTCAAGGGATTGGTAAAGCACATCTAGGAGATTAGGAAAGGGCACTTCTGGGTGTGTCTGTGGGTATTTCAGAGGTGACTGGTAGCACTGAGTGGGGAAGATGCACCCCAACTGTGGGTGGCACCATTCAATAAACTTGTAGCCTGGATGGAATAAATATTAAAGAAATAGGAAGTTCATGTATATTTTGAAGAACTCCCTTCTGCCTGACCTGCTGCATCCTTTTTGCCATCACCTGTGAACATCACATACCAATTTCTTCAGCCTTTCAACCCCGACTTATATGAGGTTTCTCCAGGGAGCTTCCAGTCATTCAATCTCAGACTGGTGCTGGATCCTTCATCCCTCTGGTTCTACAGCTTCCAGACTCTTGGACTTAGCAGCTACTAGATCTGCCAGCTCTCCACTGCACAGGTGGCCATTATGGACTCTCCTTTTGATCCTGTAAGTATACCTAAAAATCATATATATATATATATAT